ATGGGGCTGGTGAGATGGCTCAGTGGTCTAAAGCACCTACTTAGAACAAGCTTAGCATAGCACAGGGACCACGGTTCAATCCCCCAGCACCACATGCCAGTCAGCCCCGCCTCCTAGTGGGCTGAGCTGGCCACACACACACACACACACACACACACACACACATACACACACACACATAAATAAATAAAAAATTAAAAAAAAACAGAGAGAGAGAGAACCGAAATAACTGGGTACCCAGGCTCAGGGACAAAATGAAGTCCAAGACGCTCCCTGGGATTCCAAGGTCAGTCAGGACTGGTGGCAGTTCTCCTTTAAAAAGAGCCAACTGCAGATAATTTCCTATGCAACTGCACAAAGGCAGGGACAGGGCTAATGGAAACCAGCAAATGACAGATGCCACATCTCCTGTGCTAGTGGCTGCAAGAATATCCCCACTAGGCCTGTGGGACAAAGGAAGGGCAGCTGCCAGAACCTGGGGAGCCTGCAGCTGTGGGGAGCCCGCAGGAGCTGCAACTTGCAGCAGCAGAACACAACCACTGCCAACCGGCTTCCCTCAGAGGGAACCCTGGCCCCTAGCCAGTATCTCTGTCCTGCCCTCTTACCTCAGTGGCTTTTCTTATGGAGGTTGGGTTGGGAGAAGGATGGACAGATCTGCACAAAATTTCCTGCCATCACCTTTTATCTACTGCTCAGCCAGGCTACAAACCCCTTCACTGGGTACTAGCAGGGTGCCAGCATGTTCCAATAGTCTAATTTAAAGATCACAAGTGATTTGGAGTCACCCACTAGAAGGCTTTGCTGTCTTTTTTCTCTTCCCTTGGCCTAAAGAAGCTAAAGCTTGCAGTTCTGCAGTATTTTAAAAAGTTAAATGTGGAAATGGAGTGACTGAAAAGGACTTACAAGATTAAAATAATAGGTGACACTCATTTTGTAAAATGGCCAAATGTACAGAGTACATGGACCCATCTATTTCAGAAGCCCACAGATTTACTCTCCTAAACATGTGGTGCGTTTCTAGGCCCTGCGTACACACCAAGTCCTACCTGGCCCTGCACTGAACATTAGGGCTGGCTTAGGGCATTTCATGAAGACACACAACTGCTCACAGAGTATCATGTGCAGCTCCCCGTGTCCTCTGCAGTAATGACAAGTGTAGTCTTTTCTCCACTGAAAACTAAATTAAAGAAAAATCCCAGCCACAGGAAGCTGGAGAAAAAGACCAGTATTTCACGAGAAGCCGCTGGGCTCTGCCAGTCTGTCTGATGACTCTGGTGCTGGCCAGCCTGAGGATGCGATCGTCACTTGAAGGCCACATGCGCATGGCCTGCTTCCTGAATGCTGCAGGTAAAAACCAACGTTCTAACACACTGTGAAACCCCTGTGCTGTGCTCTGGGGACTGCTTCACAAGGTAGAATAGCTAAAAACAGAGTTCCATAGCTAAACTGTAGTAGCTATTTTTGAGTCTAAGAGCGACCACTTGATAAAAACGAGTACTATAAAAAAAATAGTGTTATAATGCAGAACCACTGAGGGTTGTTCTCTCAGGTAAAGGATGATAGCTGCGATTTGTAAATACAGTTTTAGTAGTGGTTTCAGCATCTAGACAGAGTCATTTAATATTCACAAAAAATTACCTTTTGAGTGCTTACTACAGCCAGGCCCCGTGGACAACAATGGCAAATGCTTGATGGAAAAGTACTAGAAGTGAACCTCATCTGGGACTAAGAAAATGTTCCCTGAGAAAGTGAGTTAAATATAGGTCTAAATTAATTAAGGGGAGAGGTGACAGGCAAGAGGCAGAAACGGGGAAGTGAGGGGCTTATGTGGAAAGGGAGCCAGGACATTCAAGGGCCGAAAGGAAGCTACAGTGTAGAGACCTGAGTGAGAGATCTGGGGCAGAGCCTTAGTAGCTGATTAGGAACTTAATCTCTTTTTGTTTTTACCTGAAAGCAAAGAGGGATTCTGAGCAAGCATTTGGTGTGGTCAGCTTTGTGTTAAGACTTTGGCCACAGTATAAGAAAAGCCAGTGTCTTAGTTCCTTTGTCTTTGTGCAGACACAGATCCAAGTTAAAAGAGGGAAGGTGTACTTCAGTTCACAGACTGTAAAGATTTCCGTCCATAGCTGGCCAGCTCCAAGGCAGAAGGGCAAGGTGGAGGGGCCTGGGTGGAGAGCTGCCTGCAGCCTGGAGAGAGAGGGAGGGGAGGACCAGGGCAGAAATAGACACTTTCTTTTTCTTTTTCTTTTTTTTTTTTTTTTCCTTGCTGGTCTTTTTTTTAATGTGTCATCATGCTGTATTATTGAGTACAGATGACTTCCCTCCTGTCACCTAGAGACCATTTTACCCACTGCTCTGCTTGGCTGCTAGCTTCTTGTCTCGCTCTTCAGCAATGGTGAGCTGGATTCCCTTTCCCTGGTGAAGAGAAATCCATGTTTTGCTGCCCTTATCAATAACAAAAATGTTGGAAATTAGGGTGGCAAAGCTGTTGCCCTTGGCATCTTTCACATGGACCACATCAAAAGAGCCAGGATGTCTCTCCTTGCTGGTGATCATGCCAATCCTTCCCTAGTTGGAACCTCCAGTCACCATGCACGTGTTACCAGTGTCAAACTTGATAAAATAAGTAAGCTTGCTAATATCCAAGTCAATCTGGGTGGTGTCATTCACCTTGATGAGGGAATCAGGGCAGCAAATGGTGTGAGCACCATAGGTCACCAGGTGTGGGATTCCCTTCGTGCCCACAAAGATCTTTCTTACTTTGCAAAGCTTATACTTGGCTTCCTCAGGTGTGATGTGGTGAACAGCAAAGTGTCCCTTGGTGTCATAGATGAGATGGAAATTCTTGGCAGTCTTGTCAATGCTGATAACATCCATGAAACCCGCAGGGTAGGTTATATCAGTTCGCACTTTGCCATCAAGAGATAGACACCTCCAAGTCACTCCTGCAATGACCCACCTCTTCCTACCATCCCACCTCCCAACAACAAGCCACTAATGATTAAACTGTCCTCAAGATCCAATCACCTCCCCAAAGCACCGTGTGCACATGGGGCTTTGGGACATATAGATATCAACCATTACACCAGGCAAGCAACAAGAAGTGCTGTGGTAGAAAAGCTGGAGTTCTGCACAGTCAGAGACTAAGAGATGAGGAGTCCAGGCTCAGCAGTGAAAGGACTGAAAGTTTACTTGGGGCACAGAACGGGAAATAGAGGCGAAAGAGGACGGAAGGTGACGGGTTCAGGGAAGGATCTGGGCTTCTGTAAGTGAGTGGAAGAGGACCAGATCTGTGGAATGGATGGTGATCTATGATCTATTCTACTCCTACACACACACACACACACACACACACACACACACACACACACCCCATCCCCAGTCAACCGGCTCAGCTCACCGGTTCAGTTCCTTTTTCTCTTGTGACATAGAACTGCTCTGGTGTCAGTTTCTTCTGCCACTCAGCCTTGGTGAGAGTTGGTTCAAGCTTCGTAAGAGACTCTGCATCATTAAATAGGAAGTTTGTGTTATTAAAATAAAAAGGCACAATGAACTCTTCTTCTCTGGCCTTTCTCCCAAATACACCATCTCTCAGAAAAATAATCCCGTACCTTGTCTCTCTGCCACACTTTATTCTTTGCAAGGACCAGAAGACTCAGGTACAAAATGCTTTGACTATTTAATTTAATAAGAAATCAGTAATAAGTAGAAAGCCAGCTTTCTAGTCCTCTGGGGGCACAGAAGCTAAAGAAGCAGCTGAAATGGGTAATAATGCAGAATACATTCTCAGATACCCGAGGGGGCACATTGATCCTCTCCTCCATTCCCACTTTTGGAGAAGTAGTCCTGTCATAGCACAGCTGGGAGCAATGGAGGGATTGGATAGAAAAGAACTAGCGAGCTAGTGTGTTATTAAACTCCCCTTGCTTACTGACTTATAAAGATATCTCTGATTCTGCTTGTCAAGGGAGATCTTTATTAAAAAATCTTGTGTGAAGACTCCTATCCTACCAACTCCTGAAAGGGAAACTGAGACCTATATAATCTATTATGCTTTGCGAATGCTGTCCATATTATTTTCCTTTCTCTGACTTCCTTTAGCTTCTATCTTATTACTTTTATGTGGGTGAGTATTTGCAAAACAATGACAATACTCTCTTTAGGTAAAATTGAAAGCACAGTTCTCTTAGTATATGTTTTAATTATCCAATATGAAGAATAGGATTTTATAATTTCTTGGACTCTTCAATTTACAAATAGAATAGAAAGATATAATGGGTTAGGAACCTTCCCAGAGTGAAGATAAAATGTTAAACAACGTGATACTGGCCAGGGTTACAGCTCAGTGGTAGAGCACGTGCTTACCATGCATGAGGTCCTGTATCATCACCAGTATCAAACAAGAACCACCTGTCCTGTGGGGCCATATATATCAAAACATGTCATAAACTTATTTTTGAAATTCAAAAATTTTGAGACTATTTTTGGTCTCAAAAATAGTCCTAAATGTTAATTTATATTTTTAAAGGTTTTTTAAAACTTAAATATATTATAATTTCATTTAAAAATATTCATTTTGTAAGGCCCGGCGAGATAGCTCAGCAGACCAAGTGCCAGCTTTGGTCCCACGAGCCGTGCCAGCCCCTGCCCCCAGGGCATTCTACACTGGCCACTGACTTTAGGCTGATGGTGCATGCCTGTAATCCCAGCACTGGGGAGGCTGAAAACAGGAAGATCAGTACGAGTCCTATCTATGTAGTGAGACCCTGTAGACCCTGTACTAAATACATTAAAAAAATTTATTTATAAAAATGAAAAAAATCATTTTGTAAGCACAGGGATTTGTTTCTTACTATACAAACACACTTCTGAGCTTTGCCTGTGAAAATATACCTCAGGTGACACACTTTTTCAGGAACTCACCCCTTGGGAACAAAGTAAAACATATTTGTGTCACAATTATGATTTCCCAGTGATTCTCACTTATCTTGCAGACAGCCAAATAATAAATGGAGAAGGAATGATAGAATTTTTAAAATTGCTACATTTGCAACCACCAAAATAATAAACAGTTCAAGCAAGAACCATCAGGGGATCCTAAAACCCTTGGGTGGAAAAGTTATAAATTCAGTAACTAGGCTCAATGGGGTCTCAATGAACAATAGTGCTTCTTCTACATCCTTATGTAGCTTTCTTCCTTTTCTCCACAATTGGCAAAGCCTTTTCTATTTTCCTTAATCTGTGGTTTCTACCACCTCCTATCTTACTATCACCATATGACTCCACTTGGGAGGAACCAAAACCCATCAACCAGAAAACCTGTTTCTTGCTACCCACCTACCAGAGAGGTAGACCTACACCAGCCTTCCTTCTATCTTGTTGCCATGAAGTGAGTGACTACCTCCTTGTGTTCATATGCTGCTGTTTTCTGGGACTATGTCTCCTTTCACTTCCCCAGGGACCAGGATCAGTGAGTGTTCCTCCTTGCCATCTTCATCTAGACATACTAAGTCTCTCAGAAGGAGAAGACAGCCTTAAGCTATACACTACAGCTACTCTCTGCTTAGTAGCTTAAAATTCCAGTACATGATGAGGACTCCCAAATCTATTTTTACTTCTGTCCTAGATATCTTGGCTACTCCAGATTGATACAGAATCATCACCTGGGTATTTCTGCTTGAATGTCTCACCCCAAATCAGTACAGTACTTCAGAGTACTTCATACCATCACAATCTTCCCTTCCCAATCTACTAAATTTTTTTTTTGGGGGGGCATGCCTAGGACCAAATCCAGGATCTCATGCACCCTAGTCAAGCACACTCCCATTGAGCTGGGCCCCACACCTCCGCTCTTCTATGTACTCTAGCTCATGATATTTCAAGCCAGAAATCTAAACCACCAGCCATGTGACACACTTTTCTCTGTACTAAGTGTTGTTTATTCAACTTGCAAAATAAACAGGCCCTGGTCATTCTCACTTTCTCAGCTGCTGTCTTGATTAGACCACCATTGCAGCTAATATAAGACTGTTACAAGTTCCTGACATGTGTCTTCCTCCTATCCCGAACTTTTGATTTTTTTTTTTTCCTTGAAGCCCAAAAGTGTTCAGTGAAACCTAATACCCTCAAGGTCAATACCAAACTTCTTAATGTGATTTCCAGTGTTCTTTGTGCCTTTGTCATGCTTGCCAATTTTAATTACTCTCTTCAGCTGTATCCCAGTCATTCTGAACCAGTCTTCTAAGTGCTGGCAAGGTTTTGTCCATCCTGGAATTTCTACGCTCAACCCCTCACCTTAATACTACTTTCCTTTTTCTTTTCTAACTCCTAAGTGTCCTCAGGGCCCTCTGCATGAAGTACGCTATAGATGTCAGTTTACCCCGATGGTTGATGAAGACAGAGCTAAACTATACTATTACTAATTTTTTGACTGCTGGATCTGTCTGTTTCTGATAAGATGGCTCAGAAGTCTCCAACTATGATAGTGGATTCATCTTTTTCTCTTTGCAAGTTTATCAATTTTTGTTTCCTACAGTTTGATGCTCTATTATTAGATGCACACACTAGGTTACATGGACAGCAAAGGGTCCGTATCAGGAACCCACTATGTTACCACCTTGATCTTGGATGCATCAGCTTCCAGGACCGTGATAAATGTTTGCTGTTTAAACCAATCAGTACTCGATGGTATTTTATTGTGGCATCCCAAGCTCGGACACAGCCAGTGACAAGAAGCCAAGACTCAAATGTTGGTACACTGACAACCAAGCCATTAACGTGTTAGTATTATCTGCTTGTCATTTTTAATGGGTTTCTAGAGTTCGTTAAGTCAAACTTCTATGATTTACTTAGGTCTTTCTTAACATCTGAGTGGAAGCCAGTTTCTGATTCCTAAGAGTAATGCTTCAAAAACTGTCTTAGCACATACAGCTTTGTTCTACCTTTGAATTATTTCCTTAGTATACATTCCCAAGAGTTTATTCTGGTAACTTACACAGCTCTTGGTATGTACTGGCCAAATTTTAATGTGGCTGCAAAACTTCAGCTCTTGGGGCCATTTACTAGACTGCTTCTGACAGCGCCAAGTACAAGCGTGAAGAAGTTTCTGCTACCACCACTATGCTACCAAGAGGGCTGAAGAGCGCTACAGCCCGGGGTGCGCTGGTTCTCTCACCCACGAAATGCTCGTTGGCACAAAGGAGGCTGGCATCGAACGTCAGATGGGCAGCCAGGAAGGCCGCAGATGGAAGCCCTGGTGTACTCGCACTACATTTTGAAAACGTCAAGGGATGAGAAGCGTTCCAACCCGACTGTATGTCTCCTGGAACGCAGTCTCTAAATGTTGATAGAAGCAGACACAACTGGAATCAGAGCAGGCCCCTAGGTAGCGCTCCAGATCGCAGTGTCTACAGCGGCGCTATATTATTCTGAAACACAACATGCCCGATACGGAAAAAGGGGGCAAAGGGCATCTGGCAAAACACACACGCACCATGCACCGTCTGGCTCGCAGCCATTAACAGTGACTGTCAGTCTCTAGCGTCAACAAAGGAGGCGCCCACGGCACAGTCCGGCCGGGATCTGCTCCGAGCCGCGGGGCCCAAGCCGCGCCGGACCCGTAGACCGCAACGCACAGAAAAAATTGTCGCCGCCACCGCTTTGAAGACTCGCGTTGGCCCCCTAAAGCAAAACGCTTGGGCTTCGCAGTGTCCCGTTCCCACTTCGCGCCCTCAAGCGCCAGGCCGGGGAGGGGGGGGGGGGGGGGGATCGCGCGGCTGCGGAAGCAAAACCTAAACCTGGAAGGCGGCGGCTGGGCCAGCGAGGCCGGTCCTACCTGCTTCCTTGTGTCCTGACCCGGCTCGACGCAGCACAACCTGCCCCAGAGACTCTAGGAAGGGCCGGGGAAGGAGCGCATTCAGCAGGCGCGCCATCGTGCAGGTAGTTGGCACAGTTCTGCCCCCGCCCCAGGCAGGCCCCGCCCCGAAGCGGGCCCCTCCTCCGCTCCTCTCTCTATTGCCTCTCCTCCTCCTCCCCCTGTTCCTATCTCACACCCCACCTTCTTGCTCCCACCACCTTCCCGTTTGGTGTGCCCCCTACCGTGTCTTCTGGTTCACAAGCTTCCTTGCCTCCCTTACCCCATATGTGCCTCCCACTCATACCCAGGCCGGACCCCAGGGTATGACACCAAACTACTGCTCAGCCTGAGTCCAAATGCTGTTCTGTTCCTGTTTGTCTGCCCTTTACGGAGTTGTATATGAATGGAATCGTGTACTTTGTGCTTCTTTTGTCTGCTTCGTTCACTTGGCATAATTATTTTGACAGTCCTGTGTGATTTTTTTTCACGTCATAATTGCTCATCCCTCCTCAGTGCTAAGTAATATTCCATTATGGACATACCTATTTTGTATCTCTGTTCACCAAATGCTTCCAATTTTTCTTTATTAAAACTAAAGCCTCCAGGAACATTCCTGTACAAATTTTTGTGTAGTTAGATTCAGTCTTTTCTCTTGGCATACCTGGAAGTAACTATCTCAGTTGCAGTTCCTCGGTATCCCTTGTCAACACTGGAAATGTCCAGACTTTTTTGGTATCCCATTGTGGTTTTACTTTATAGTCTCCAATGGCCAACAATTACGAGCATTTGCATGTGCTTATCTGCAGTGAACATATTTTCTTTGCTTTATTGCCTATTTATTGTTAGTGATTATTACTAAGTTTTGAATGTTCTTAGATATGCTAAATACAATGTCTTTTTTTGTACAGGGTCTTGCTATGCAGGTAGGACTCGTAGTGATCCTCCTGTCTCAGTCTCCCCAGTGCTGGGATTGCAGGCGTGTGCCACCATATCCTGTTTCACTGGCTGGCTCAGCACACCCCAGGTGGGGCCAACACAGCATGCAGTACCTGGGATAGAACCCGGGTCCTTGCGCTTGCCAGACAGGCAGTTAGACTGCTGAGATACAACTCTTTACCAAATACTTGCTTCGCAAAATGCCTCTGTTCCCACTATGTGGCTTATCTTTTTTAATCTCCTAATGGCATCTTTGGAAGAGTAATTTTTAATTTTGATCAAATCCAATTTATCATATTTTTTGAGTTATAATTTGTGGTGTCATATTTATTTCCCTAATCTATAAACCACAAAGATTTTCTATCCTTTATTCTGAAAGTTTGTTTTAGAGTTTACATATAGGTTTACTACTTATTTTGACTTAACTTTTGTATATGACAGCTTTTTATTGTTCTTTTTAACATTAATGTCCAATTGTTTCAGTATCCTATGAATCCATCCACTGAATTGCTGTTGACTTTTTTTGGTCAAAAATCATTTTGTCAATGTGAGAATCTTTTTCTGGACTTTCTATTCTGTCCCATTAATCAGTTTGTCTCTTTTTTACATTACTACTACAATGTCCTGCCCATCATAGTTCAAATCAGGTGGTATGAATACAATAACTCTGTTCTTTTTCAAAGCTTTGGCTATTTTAGTTTTTATATACTTCAACACACAGTTTAGATTTAGGGTCTTAATTACTACAAACTTGTTTGAACTTTGATAGGGATTTCATGGTGCTCTCCATAACTTTGGGGACAACTGACATCATAGCCATCTGAAATCCATATCCCTGAGTAAGGTACAACATATCCCTGAGTAAGACACACCTCTCAACTTCTACAGGCTTTCTTTACCTTCTGTCAGCAGTATTTTAGAGTTTTCCATATATAGATCTTTCACATCTCCTGACAGAATTATCCTGAAGCATATTTTTGATGCCATAACATTGCTTTATTGTTGTTGTGTTGATTTGTCTTGTTTGGTGTGCTGGGGTTTAAACCCAGGGCCTCACTCATGGCAAGACAAGCACTCTACCACCACACAGCGTCTCCAGCCCTTTCACTTTGTTTTATTAATTTTAATTACTGATTGCTTGTTTTGCATCTGTAGATTTTGTATATTTATCTTGTATTTCATAGTCTTGCCAAACTCACTCTGGTGGCATCTTAATGGATTTTCTATAGACACAGTCATGCTGAAGAGTTTTACTTGCTCAATTTCAATGCAAATACCTCCCCGGTTCTTCATTTATTTCACCTGGTCAGAGTGAACATCTTTGCATTGTATTTCATCTTGGAGGAAAATCATTCACTTTTCACAATTAAGTTTCAAAGTAGCTGTAAGTTTTTCAAGGACACCCTCTCCAGTTGAGGAAATTGCCATCTATCTGTAATGTACAGAGGTTTTTTTATTGGAAGTGATGTTGAATTTTTGTCAAATGCTTTTCTACAGCTGGTGTAGAATCATATTTTTCTTTTTGTTTTTAGTTTGTTGATTGAATTTTAAATGTTAAACCTACTTAGTAGGTTTAACCTACAATAAATCCTACTCTATCTCCTTTATATATTATTAGATTTCATGAGCTTAAATTTCTCAATCCTTGCTTTCAAGGCATGTCGATCTCTAGTGTTCTTTTCTTATGGTATTACTTGTACCTTAGTAGTAAGAAAACAATTCAAATCCAGGGAGGTAAATATATTGCCCGGGATCATACTGCTAGTTAGTTGAAGCCCCTCTAAACTTTAGAATTAATGAAATATTAAGGAATTGGACACATTTAACTCACCTATTTTAATTCCTAATCCCAACGATTTAGGAAATGCAAAAATGACTTTAACTTTATGGCACTGTGGGGGCATCTGCACTCTGCGCATTTATAGCATTACCTTATTCAAGCAGCCAAGCCAAATATTCAGCTTTAGTATCTTCATCTCTCACAAGGGGTCATTGTAAAGATTATAGATGGTCTATATTAAAATACCTAGGAAATCCTCTCAGGCACAGTTCATCTTTTGTTTGTTTTGTTTTGGTACTAGGGATCAAACTCGGGACCTTGTGCTTGCCAGACAGGTACTTATGCCTCTGAGCTATCTTCCTGGCCCTCACAGTTGGCTTTAGTAAATGTTAGTCATCATTACGAAGATTTAATGAGAAGCGCTAGGATTTATAAACGGCTAATGGCCAATGCATCCCTGAATTTCTGCATGTTCCCACACTCTCAGAAAGGCATTCCAAAGACAGATGAAGTCCCACCCTGTGTACCCCCCCCCACCCCATTTAAATCTGCAAGGAGGAGTCTTCCCTCCTTTGTTCAGGCCTTTCCAGGCCTTGAAGTGCTCCTCAGCCCAGTACCATTATCCTAAATCAAATTTACTTGTGAAGAAGGAACATGTTCTAATTTCACATTGTGGCCCCTCTAGGCTTCACTTGAACACAACACTGCCCATTACTTCATAGTCCAGGTACAGACTTCTAGTTGCCTAGCAATAGGTATTCTTCTCTCTTTAGTTACAAACATGTTTTTGATTTTATTGAGTGTAACCATGTTCCTAGCTAAAATGTTACATCCACCAGCTCCTTTGGTAGACATATGACACAATTCGTAGAAATAACAGAAGCAGAAATCACCGGAAGGCTGCTAGGGAAACCGAAGAGGAACCAACTTAAGCACCAGCATTTGCTCTTTCCTTCCTTCCTGCCTGCAAATGAGCCCTGATGGCCAGAGCACTGAGAATCTTCTGCCACATAGGAAGAGGGGACTCACACATAGACGTTAACAGTAGACACCACAGGGTCTAGGACAGTGATGCTATTGCCAAACCAACACTCTGGACTTTGGTGGCCTACCCCCAAGTGACAGGCAAATCCATAGTTTGTTTACACTGCTGTGATTTGGATCTTCTGTCTCATAAAACTTATGCAGTATACCTGAAATCTTGAGTTTGACTGTGAAAATCAAGAAAGGTGAAGGATCATAACTTTGATTCTTTCTATTTCTAATATATACAAATGATAAGCATAATAAAACATTGATAATAAAACCCCTAAAAAGATCAAATGTAGTGACCCCAAAATGGGAGCTCAGGTCAAAAGCCAACTTTCCTTTCTACATTTAAAACTTTTTGAGAATAAAATGGTGTCATAGATGAGCTGGGTATGACACACGGCTCTCGCCACAGGGCCGGAGTGTCTTTGCATGCGCCCAAAGGCCCGTGTCACTGCTCATTTTGGTTCTTCCACGGTCTAGAAAATCCTTATAAACTAATCAACTAGGACATACCAAATAAAAACAGTAAGAAATAGTATTGGACCTTTTAAGGCAGCAAGTGAAGACTAGAATAGGCAGTTTAATAGAAAAAACACAGCATGACATAGAATCTGGATTGTATTTTCAGTTATTTTCCTAATTGTACATAAAATTTTAGATGAACTTTTGGGCCTTGGTCTAATCATTAGAAACTGGTATAAGTGCTGGAAATGATACCTTATATCTATAATTTAAATAAAATCTAGAGAATCACTATGAGTCTGATCTAGTAGTGACACCCTGATGACAGTGCTTCTATTGCAATGAGAGAGTTTCAGGAAGGTAGGAGAGTTACAAAAATTGATACATTGCATGTGTAATAGAAGGATCACTCTAGAAATGCCTGTCATTCTGATCTTCTACATACATACTTCCTGTCATGACATACCAATTACTATCATACAAGGGTTTTTTTTGTTTTTCTTTTTTAAAATGGGTAATAAATAAAAAAAAGCACAAAAAGAAAATAAATAAATAAATAAATAAAATCTAAACTCTCTGTTATATAGTCTGTGATTATACAACTTTTGGTGGAAAATGGAAATATATACTTCCCCAGAGAGCAGAGAGCTGAAATAGTAGATTTAAGTAATGTGCAAGTTAACTTATAGAGTAACCAACAGCATTTAGAATAACATGGATTATGTTATAAAAATTGACAAAATAACAACTAAAATAACAGTGAATCAAGTAGGTTTTTTGATGTATTTTGGTTCAGGGTCTCACCACATGGGTCAGATTCATATGATCCTCCTGTTTCAGCCTCCCCAGCATTGGGATTACAGGCATGCACCACCACTCAGTGGCCAGCTCAA